AGTCTCCCATATTACATTGATGTTAACCGAGAAATAGGCTATCTTAAAAGGTATAAGGCTCCCGGCCTCGACGGGCTGTCCTCATCGGTTTTTAAAGATGGCGGTTCCGCCTCGGTCCTGTTGTTAAAGACAATTCTGGCCTCGGCGTGGGAGAGAGAACAGATACAAACCAAATAATGTGAATCCGCCATCATACCGATTTACAAGAAAGGTGACAGAGAAAACTTAGTTTAACCAAAATCGTCTTGCCCGCTTCCGTCGATTGTCTGCCGCACTCGAAGAGTGCACACACGAAAAGCATGCTGGTTTTAGACCTGGTCGAGGTTCTATGGACCATATATTCACTGTTCGTCGAATCCTAGAACATACACACTCCTTTCGTAGACCAACCATCTCAATCTTTCTCGATTTGAAAGCGGTTTTTGATCCAGTCGACCGCTCTCAACTCTGGCGCTGCTTTTCCTTCAATGGGGTACTTGAGAAATTTATTTCAATCCTGCAATCCCTTTATACGAATAGCCGAAGTCAAGTCCGAGTTTATGCCACTCTTTCTCCCGAATTCAATACAGAAATTGGCGATCGACGGGGTTGCCCTCTCTCGCTGTTTCTATTTAGCTTTGCTATAGATATAATTCTTGAAACAGCGCTGTCCTCGTGCGAGGATAGTGGTATCACTCCCAGGTGGCAGACTGTCTGATCTGGGGTATACAGACGGCATTATGCTACTAATTGGAGATTCAGGTAAGTTGCAGGCTTTTCTTGATAGTTTGAGTGCTAGTGTAGCGATGTTCGGTTTGCGCTTTGCATCTTCAAAGTGTAAAATGTGACTTCAAGATTGGGTTGGTCGCGCACCCAGTCTCATCCTAACTGGGTAAGTAGTAGAGGAAGTAGACAAATTTTGCTATCTGGACAGCTATAGCTCACCTGGCCGACGCATCACGGATGAAGTGTCGGCGCGCATACAGCAGGCTCAGTTGTCATTTGCCAACCTGAGACATCTGTGTCACCGTCGCGACATCCGGTCGGCCGTAAAGAGTCTGTGGTGTATGCTACAGCAGTTTGACCAGTGCTGCTTTGCGGTGAAGAGTCTTGGTCATTACGGGAACAGGATAAACATAGATTGCCGGTGTTCGAACACCGTTGTCTACGGTGCATTTCACGAGACTGGTGGGGTAACCGGACAAGCACCGCTGAGGTTAGGCGCACAGTTTTAGGTATTCGAGGTCGTCCACTAGAGCAAGTAGTTTAACTCCATAGATTACGCTGGTTGAGGCATGTGCTATGCACGTTACCAGATAGGTTGCCACGGCGAGCGATGTACGCCAAAGAGGATAGCGGTTGGAGAAAGATCAAGGGCGGTCAAACTAAGACCTGGCATGAGGATATGAGAACCCTAAGCAGGAGCCTCGGCCACATAATTCCCTTTATGTTACCTGGCTGGGGGCCCCGAGATCATGGTCTCCGATGGTTAGAGACAGTGAGTGATATGGCTGGTTGTCGCAAACGGTGGCGCTCATGCATTTACTCATTATTTTTGTAAAATCAGTCTGTATAAATTCGCTATCTTCCGCTTGATTTTGCTCTCAAAATTTAAGCCTCTATTTTGCTGTTTATCGGAACGGGCCACCAAAAGACAGTGAACAAAACCGGCGAACGAATGTACACGGTTATTGGTTGTAAGAACTGAACTAAATTGAACTGCCAAAAATAAGTGACGAAAGAGAATAAATTACGTTATGATGAATTCGTCGTGTAACTGAGACTTGAGCCGAAAAGCTGAGAAGCACCCGATAGCTGTTTCGACTTGGTTGGGTCTCATCATCAGTGCGAATCCATCGACCCAAATGGGGATCGAACCCGAAACGTGACATCTGGAACGCAAGCATACTACCCATTCGGCCACCGGGCAGCTGATCAGACCGTTTCTCATTTTGAATTTACACGATATAGCACAACCTGTGTTTGCAAGCTTGTTGTGCGTATCGGTTCTCGTTCATTTCAGCATTAGCCTCCAGGGAAATGACTTCATTTGAAACTTTCATCAACTTATTATTATGCTAGCAATGATGTGATTTTTTAAAATAAGTGATACCATAAGTTTTCCATGGCCTTTGCTACAAACTCGAAACAAGCAACTAGTGAAATCGAGTGGGCGTCATTCAAAAAAATAGTTAACTAAGTATTGCACCCTCAACTGGTACTCAGTATAATAAATCTATTTCATTTTTCTTTAGTCTAAATTCAGAGTGTTAGACATCTTGTGTACAATCTGTTGAACATTTCACGTACATAATTACAGTATCTTTCAAATAAAACACTCCGTGACAACATTCAGACATTTGATGACATTTGATCGAACAATACTCACTATTTTTTAATAAAAATAACCGGTCATTCACCATATAGATAGGATAAATTATTAAATAACACTAGACATTTGGGGTATGATATTTTACAACTTTCTTTGTTCAGTTAATCTTGGTTAATGATTCGTGAAGTTGACTTGTTATCCTCTTAGTTCAGTTAAAACACTATTGTCGAGAGAAGACTCTGATTGGGACTTTCTGATCAGAGGTCATGAACACCAATCAATAAGGGACATTTCGATGGAAGCTCGGTCGGCTGAATTCTATTAACCGAAACACCCAATCAACTGGATCAAACTCCGTCAGATGTGAAGAGCCTTTGTGACCGAATTTACATTGTATTGAGATCTATAGAGAGCACTAAGATAGATTGTCAAATCCGTCAAATTTCAACCAAATGGGCAGAGGTTAATGGAAAACTAATTCTGGTTGTTTGAATTTGAAAGAAACTATCTGGCGGTTATGAAACGGATAACAAAGGCTATCTGCATCGATTAGGAAAATCGATCAGGAAGGTATCAATGTTACTCCAATTGGGTTGTCCAAATTCAAGAATTAACTTGAGAGTTACAATATGGAGGCTGAGAGATCGAATAAGGTAATTAGTCAGCAATCATCACAGGTTGCAAGAAAGTTTCTGCACAACTACTGGCTTAAAATACACTCTGTAACAAAATATTTAGCTAGTACGGATTTCTGAGCTACTTGTTTCGTTTCTGCCAGATGATGCTCAGAAATGGAATAAATTACGGGGATGTGACCAGTCGGAACCTAATCGATTCACTCAAGTTTATCTATAGACAAAACAGATATGACAAAATTGTTTAGCTATCAACAAACTATGTTGTCTTAGGGATTGGTTGGTAATTTATTCCGGAGTTATTCTAATTAACAATTTTCTGCATGGTTTCGGACATAGTTTAGGTTATTTTTGGGTAGTTATTGGCTCCATTTTCTTCGCTGAACAGCTGGCCAACCAGTCACGGATTCATCAACTGTCACAGATCAACATAGTAAAAATACTCCGCAGATTTTCTATGGGATTCTGATGGAGGTGCAAAGGGGTCAGTTGCGGACTCGAAGCTCACAAAACCATGACCACCATCTCGATGTACAATAGGGTTAGTGAGTTAGGTTATCATATGGTAGATATATGACTTTTGAATGGAATCAGGTCATCCAGTGTATATGATTTCACAGATGTGTGCAAGTTGCAGTCATTGGGTTCACCGGACGCATTTATTTTATCTATCCCATTATTGGAAAACACTGCAAAATAGCCAACTGAGAATGTTCTACTGATTAAGACACACTGCTTTAGTAATATCATAATAAAAGTAGCGCGAACCTTCGGATTCTTGGTCCAACAACACCTAACCTAATAAACAAAGAGATAGCATGATTGATTTAATTAACCGAAAGGATTTCCGAACGATCTCTGGTCATGCGAGATAAACAGATGCATCAACCATACTACAGCTCACTAGGTATGAACTACGGCGTTCAATCGTTTTTCTGGACATAACTCAAACAAACTATTATTTTTCTTTATAAACAACAGATTTCAGATTTGCGCTCTAAACTCGGTTTTAATCCCACATAGTTTGTTTTAGTTTACGTGAAAAACCAACATTTCACCTTTCCATGGCCTCAGACAAACATTTGGATGAATGTAACTTGATCGATCAGATGTGCTGCTGTCCAACTGACTAATCACATGCCTCAGATACGGTCTGACAAGGTATAGGTAATCTGATGGGTCAACTGTGCTACCCCCGCTTGTGACCGGCTTTTATTCTTCAGACTTACAAAGAATATTCAGTTTTTGCTCCATTCCGCGATCTATAAGTCAAGGTTTGAACTGGTAAAATTTATTCTAGCTTCATAAGGTGGTTCATCTGAAAGAGTCCTTGGGGAGTGTAGCATTGATTACACATTAGAGATTGGTTACCACTGTTTGTAAGTCAAGGTTGAACATTTTATTTGCTAATGGGGAATTCATTCAAGTGTAAGCTTAGTGGCTGTATAAAACTGAACTTGAATGTTAGACCACAGTGGTAACTATGTGTTATCTTCACCAGCAATGCGTTCGGGATTAGATCAAAGTTCGAGGAAAGCACTTGCATTTAGGGATAAACGCTACGTGGAGCGTAGTTACCGTAAAGTGATGCTGTCAATCAAGACAAAGACGTTCTCCACAGTACGGCGATTTAATTACGAGGACGCTTATCCAGGATAATTTTTACCCTTAGATATCAGATACAAATTGCTCTACTGAAAACAGGACTGGTGGGTCCGGTTTTGTTGAATAAAAGGCAAACGTTACCAACAACAATCGATATAGTGGTTCATTTTTGAAAAGTTTTACCAGCAGCTATGAAGCAGACAGTGAACCCATCAAAAAGGAAACAGATAGCTTGAAGTGAAAGACAAAGGTACGTAAATTGGGGAAAGCTAAGCATTACCGCAGAATCTACTAACCAGGAATCCACGTCATTTTATCTGACCGTTGTCGTTTGAAGACAGTGTGAAATTTGTGCCAGTACCCTATCGGTGAACAATACAAATCCTGTCGAAAATGAAGTTTAGTTGAATATCTAGTGATGAATTGGTATTAAATCTAATGAAACTCACTTGAATTCATGTGGTGTATTGAACAAATAACCATGACCATCCAGTATGTTGCCACCTCCTTGATGTCCCTGTGTTTCTGTGCCAGTTCTATGGTTTTGCGGACTCCTGTGAACCCAATCAATGCAAAAGATATATCAACACTTAATAGACTCGCAACATTGCACTGTAAAACGTATTTCAGTAATGGTGTTACAACGCTACTGTCTCTATTATATATCAAATCTTTTGATATACTTATTCGAACCGTAGAACTTGATTATCATCATCCGACTCAGTTGGACACCTAGAACTACGTTGTGGTTTATCATTCTAAAGTATCCAGAAGATCACGAAGTCAACTCACTATACCATGAACTGTAAGGTTGTGTGAAAAAGAAGGAAAAGATAATAATGATTCAAACACAAGTTTCTCATTAGGCTCAATCAATTATTGTTTAACATGATAAATGATAGAATAAATAAGTAGCTGAAGTTGAAAAGCTCTAGTTTGTGCCGAGATGCATTGATTCAATTAGCAGTGTCCGTCGATAGTGAAAATAATCTTTCTGAGCAATTACTTCACAATCGCTTTGAATTCTACCATCAAATACTTTTCTAGCTTATTCGTGTCCTTGAGATTATCAATCAGATATCAAATGGATTGGAGGAAGTGGAAAATTAAATTTCTCTTTTTCTCACCACATTTGGTACTTACTTATGCACGTAAATATCTTACTTTACTTTACTACTCTTAGCTCTTTGGAAAGGATAAGCCGGCTCCAGACATGAACATGATTCAGATCATGGAGTTCCTTGGGATTTTCGTACGAGAGACGTCCCCAGCGTCACTCGGCCTTTTTATTTTGAGGGTGCACCTCCAACCTTTGCACAACCAAGTGTGAATTGCAAGGCAGTAGGAAGTAATCCCTTACCTCGGAAGTGAGGGGGTCAATGAATTTAGCTTTAAAAGGCCAGTCACATCGACCTTCGTCACGACACCGTCACTGGGCTTTAGTGGCTTTTAAACAGGAGCCAGGTGACCAACCTGAAATCCACCACACCCTGGTAGTGCCGCCGCAACTACTTATTTGTTGCGGTTTGCCACAACTTATGCACAGCTAACCTGTTTCGATGACGGTATTCCCGTATCCACAACTCGGGGACGTGCCTGGTAGCATTCAGCTCCACTTAACCCGAGGTTTTAGTACTTATTCAAAGATTTTGGATTACTCACCAGCTGAAAAGTACCGCTTTTATCAGTTTCACACTGAACCAATCATTAAAGACTTATTGAACCTTCTTCTATCCTGAAAATACAGTCGAAGCATTGTCGAGATGATCCCAATCATATTACCTTTGAAAGTTATGCAAAATTTGAATCGTACAATTCGGGAGTGAGCGATACCCGGTGAGACCTGCGATACGTCCATTTGATACAAATCTAAATTGACGGTTGAAATGATGCATTGGTCAACCATAGTTCTAAAACGTGTCCTGTTCAGATTTCCCGTTTTTTATTCCCTGGTCATAGCAAGATGACGGGCAAGTTAACAATATGGGGGCGACGGATCATAACTTACGTTCTTTCCACCGGTCCACGTGCACTCATGGATAATCCCTGATCATTGATTGTGAGGGTTCTTTCAATCGAACGGAAATAGTTCAGTACAGATAGACACTGAAAACGAATGAATGGGATAGATTTGTGAACCATGCGAACAAACTAGACGGGAAAAATTGAAAAATGAAAAATTATTCAACGTTTGCAACCCACTTACCGTACGCATCACGTCACGTAACTTCAAATGACGCAAATGAAGGAACGACAAATAAGCACCTTGTACGCTGGACGGATCATCTTTGGCATTGGCAGCATCGTCCAGGCCCAGCATTTGCATGGCTTGTGTGAAGTCATACTCACTTTGTTTCTTACCCGGTTCATCAAGGTCGGTATTTGACCTGCGTGGACAGAGCAGACCAGTGAATGGCGATTACAAATTTAGTGAAGTTTCTTCCTACCAAAAACTTATCTTGGTCGGGCCATGCATTTCTCTCTCCCTCGTACACGCACAGGCACACCCCAGCACTAATTGCGCCTGCAGATTCAAACAGCGTGACCAACTTACGTATTCTAGCTCTCAATCCCTTGTCAGGTGTTTGTTGTGACTTGAAAGGAATAATCTGAAAACACGTAGTCTAGAATTACGGATACCTCTGAGTTTGTGGTTCATTTATAGCTGACAAGGGATTATAAATCCCTTGTCAGCTATTTTCGAAACTTTCCTGTGTTATGCTGGTTCACGGTGTCATGTAAATTTTTATTTAATGTTACTCCGATACAAAAATCAGTGTAATATTTGGCATAATTCGATTACTCCACGGGTTTGCTGAGCCCGGGAAGTGTTTCCGAAAAGGAAACGATTTATGTGGGAACACCATGTACTGAAAACTTTG